AACGAACACTTAATTTCCAGTTGTTCTCTATTACAAACATTTCATACATATTTTAGAAGTTACAAGAAACCTAAAGTATGTAAGGCTGGTCTTAGGTAGTTTTCTTTAAATATTTGCTTCTCTAAGCTGGTATTAAGACAAAACAATTTTTGTAATTCAATCCTGTTCCAAAATGCTTTGATCACTAAAGTAGGCAATCATCAGTTAATTGTCTAAAATACCTTAAACGTATCTAACCTTAATAGATGACCTTCTAATCTGGCTACAGTCTGTCATATCAATTTTAACTGCCCAAGTTCCCTACAAAGTCTCCACTCTGATCAAATGGATTTATTCATCTGGAGGAGACTAGTGCTTGGCTATCCTGCTAGCCTAGCACTTGCTGCTTTTCCCGGGTGAAAAGGGTGGAAATCACTCTCTTTCTCTTCACTGATAAATCTAATCCAGAATTATGAATCCAGCTCATATCCCACTTGGTCCATAAACCCTTCCTGACCTCTTAGCAGGAAAGGATTTTCCCTCTCATTAAAGTCCCTTGGCACATGATATTTGTAACACTTATGGCAATTAAATGTCTTGAAACAGTTCCTTCTGTTTCAAGTGTTAAATAACAGTTCAAGTGTTATTTAAATCTTGCTTATTATTTCCTCATTGTCATTTTTAAACCATCTTTCTACAAATGTACCAAAGGGCTATTGAAGGAAGAGACCAGACATGCTATTTACCCAGAACTATACCTTACATGTGGAAGGAGTTTGGTAAATATTTATTGATTTAATGTGATTACTGTAAATTACAGATCTATATTAGTAAAGTTCTCATTCAGTTCAATTTCTATGCACAGATAAGAGCACATGAAGAAAGCAATTTCTTAAAGCTCTTTCATCAAGATATTAACATAAAATCTTTGTTACTGACTATATACTGCACAGTTGGTATCTGAACTATGTAATCTGTAAGTCAATAATATCTCTAAGATTTTTCTTACATCTTTATAATACTTAAAATATCTACTTAAAATAGCTTATCTACTAAATATTGAGTTACTTACCTTGCAAAAACTTTTGTAGAAGCACAAAAATAACAAAATAACATGAGCAAGCTTCATGTTGGAGGCTTTCAGGGTATCTTCTCTACCCTGGATAGTCTTTTGAAATTTAATTTTTAACCTCTGAAAAAATATTTAAAAAGAGCAAGCCTCCTAAAGAGCTTTGTACTTTTGAACTCAGAGAATTTGGCTAAAATCCAAAGAGCTTTACCGTAACTGAAATCAAAAAAATCTTCTCAGTAAACAGCTGAGGGAGGTGACCAATAGAAACTATGTTTCCTGTTGAGGAAACTGATTTCCCCACCTTGTTACTAGACAATGCCTCAATTCTGTTTTAGAGGGAAGACAGAAACTACATTGGAAGAAAATTTCTTATGTTTTTGGTAAAATAAAATTACAGTGTTTTTCCTTAAGGCTGAAGACTAGGAGAGAAGTAAAAGTATATCACATTTGAAAGTTATGATAAATACATTAAAAATCCTCAACAAAACAGTTCCTTTGCCATGCACTAGTTATGCTATGATCAAATTATATTCTCTGAGCATAGAAAACTTTTAAAAACAAGTATTCTTGCCCCAGCACCAACTATAGTGCAGGATTCATTTCTATTTGTGAAATAAACATTAGGGTTCTCCTGAACCAGACATGAGACAGAGGTTGAGGTACAAAGATGCTTATTAGTAATTAACTCCTGTGAAAGGAAGAGAGGAGAAACAGGAGTGAGCAGAGAGAAAAGTCAGACTGCAATGCAGGTTCAACAAAGCCTTGGTCAACTCATGGAGAGCTCTGGAGTGATTGTGGCACTGTCTCTGGGTCAGGTGGAAATGGCTAGACCATTAAACCCTGCCTTGCTCAGTTGTCTGGTGTGGGCTGTCCAGGAAAGCCATCCCCTTAGGTGAGGCAGTTCTCTGCAGTTGAGGCAGACCCTGAAGGATATGACATTTAGTTGTCATCAGAAGTGTCTGCTGATCACATTCTTCGCAGCTAGGCAGCAAAACCTTCTATGAAGTGGTATCTAGAAAACTCATCTCCCTGTCTTTCAGAGTCCACCATTTTGCACCCTTAGTTACCATATATGCTCCAGGAGGAGCTTCTTCAAAATCATAGTAGGCCTTTCATCCTGAGGGAAAATTTAGAAGAGGGAGGTGGTCAGAAAAGCTACAGCCTGGCCCTGATCTTGAGGCTGCAGTTGATGATACTTCACCTTCTGTCTCTTTCCTATCTTTTCTAGATTCCTTTCACTCTGAGCTTCTACCTCTGCCAGCCTCCGTTGTTTACCTAATGTTATGACTCACAAACTTCCTGGAGTGCTCTGGGCCCCTGGTTGCCATCTCCTTCTCAGACCATAGTTGCTGTTTCTATCCTTTTACTGTCATAAGAGGCACCCAAGTAGCTCATGTGGTTCCATACATATTCCTCCCTTCCCTCATTGTATACCAGACAGTTACCTCTGTCAACATAGTGACTTCTTGTGTCTTGTCCCTAGACACAAGAAGCCCAATGTGCACCAGAAAGAAGACTTAGCTAGTAATTCATTGGATTCTTGCTGTGCCTCTTGGCAAAAGTATGCTTCCTTTGGGGAACAAGACCCCTAACCCTACAGAGTCTACACCTGTGGAGACAGGAAGCACAAAGCCCTCAGTTGGTTATTGGGAGTGACAGTAAGTGTGGTCATTTCTTCTTCCATTCCTTGGCTCCCAGACCACCATCTTCTATTGGGGATACAATGCTAGATGAAGGTCTTTAATTCAATGCATATACTACTTCCTGGAGGATGGTATCCAGTTCTAGGAGTATTGCATTTAAATATCACCTCAGTCCTGCGTTCAGCAGGCTGCTCCAATGCTCCATAAGGCTGCCAGCTTCCAAGCGGTGCAGTAGATGATGTGGCCAGTGAATTGCATGGTCACTGACCCACTTTCACATTTCCTTTGCTGTCAGGTGGGTCTCGTCGTCTGACAGGATGTTACATGGAATCCTTTGTTGGAAGATTAAATACTCTGAAATTCTTTGGATTATCTCAGCTGAGGCCCTGTAGGCAGGAAAGGCACATCCTCAACCTGGAATATACGTCTACTCCTGTGACAATGTACCACTGGCCCTTTAAAGATTGAAGGGACATGGGCGCCTGGGTGGCTCAGTCGGTTAGGGATCCGGCTTCGGCTCAGGTCATGATCTTGCGGTCCGTGAGTTCGAGCCCCGCGTCAGGCTCTGTACTGACAGCTCAGAGCCTGGAGCCTGTTTCAGATTCTGTGTCTCCCTCTCTCTGACCCTCCCCCGTTCATGCTGTGTCTCTCCCTGTCTCAAAAATAAATAAACGTTTAAAAAAAAAAAGATTGAAGGGACCAACTGAGTCAGTTTACCACTAAGTGGCTAGTTGGAATCCTTGATGAACTGTGCCATCTTGTGGACTCAGCATTGGTCTCTGTTGCTGTCAGATTGGACATTTGTTGATGGGAGCAGCTAAATAAATCTTAGTGGGCCCGTGATATTTGGCCTCATCGCTAGCCTCCATCTCTGTTACAATGGCCACTTTATTCTTGTGCCCATTGTGCTAGCACTGGGGTGGCTGATGACTGAGACTGGCTGATACCAATTGGTTGAGCCATTTTGTTGGTTATTAAGTACCTTTTCTCTGGCAGATGTTCTCTAGTGGGTATTAACATATGATACAAAGATTTCTATACTTCACCCCATTTCTTTTTTTTTTTTAATTTTTTTTCAACATTTTTTATTTATTTTTGGGACAGAGAGAGACAGAGCATGAATGGGGGAGGGGCAGAGAGAGAAGGAGACACAGAATCGGAAACAGGCTCCAGGCTCTGAGCCATCAGCCCAGAGCCCGATGCGGGGCTCGAACTCACGGACCGTGAGATCGTGACCTGGCTGAAGTCGGACGCTTAACCGACTGTGCCACCCAGGCGCCCCCACTTCACCCCATTTCTACATCCACATATCTCCACACCAGATTTTCTTGTTCTCAATCTTTGAATATTTTTTATTCTGAGAAAAAAGATGGCCAGGCAATCACTATTACCTGTGATTCCACATACAGTCTAGCTTTGGACCACTTATTTTGTCACACAAAGTGGGTGACCAGGTATATCACCTGAAGCTCTGCCCATTGTTGAGGACACTCCCTTACCACTGTCTTTCAAAGCCAGTCCTAAGTATGGCTGTCATGTGGCTGCTGTCTATTTTCAGCTTGTGCCTACATACTGAGCCAACCCATCTGTAAACCAAACACAAGTTTTTCCCTCCTCCTGGTCATACTGGAATCCATATAGAGACATAGGTATGAGCTGAGGGAGGTGCTTGGGTGCAACAGTTTGCATTAGGCAGGGAGGGGGAAATCCAAGTTACCAGTTCATGCAGTTTGCTTGTGCCCTTGGTCCTATTTGCATTTGGTTCTGGATGTGACACTTCCATTTTATAATACATTTTTGCTAGGCCTGCTCAAACTTACACTTCGTGGGTCTGTTAGAACCCAGCTCATAATGGGCATTCTGGTCATGTGATGACATAGTGTCCAATGTTCAGTAATTCCACATTTACCAGGGTCCAGTAGTACACAAATTGTTTCTCAAAAAGAGTGTAATTCTCTGCTGCAGATGGCATGGCCTTGCTCCAGAACACCAGGGTCCTCTATTGTAATTCTCTCACTGGTTCTTCCTCAAACATTACACAATGTTTTTCCCCACCATTGACACTTCCAACACCATAGGGTTTGCCAGATCACTGCAGAAATCTTTCCTGCTCTGGCAGCCTGAGCAGTATTCCTGTGTTTTGTGCTGCCTTCTTTGTGAAGGACAGTTCAAGATGAAATCATTTGTCTTTTACTTTAGAGAAGATATCCTGGCAAGTTCCTAAGCACAGGCCTTGTCTCCCACCCTCTGGAGCGTATGTGTCTTACTTATCAATGCATTCAGCATGGTCACCACCTCTTGCTTACCTGATCTGACCAAGGTAATGCCATCAATGTAGTGGAACAATGTGATGTTTTACAGGAAGTCCAAATGATCCAGATATCTTCAGACTTTATTATGACAGAAGATGGGAGATAAGACCTATGGAAAAATTATAAATGTTGATTGTTGCTCATCCCATGTGAACACAAACTGTTTCTGTCTTTTCTGTTTAAAATATTTACAGTGGTTTAAGTTTTCTTGACCAAATTCTTATTGATACACTTTAAAATAGTGCTAAAACTAGAATCAAGGTTGTTATCTCGAAAAGAAATTCAATTGGAACAAATAATAAACCTTAGGTACGGGGTGGAATTTCTAAGTTTATGAAGAAAAAAGAAAAAAACAAAAAAAGAAAAATATCCAAATTATATTAAAATTTTTTACAACAAAAGCACTGAAAAATGTGAACTAAGCATACAACTCAGGATAGCATTAAAAAAAAACAATAAAATGAATCAAAAGTGAGAGAAAGGAAATAAAGACATAAACAATAGTAAATAAGCCAAGCAAAAATTTAGCAAATTTGATATCTAAAACAGTGAATCATTTTGAGAAATTAAAAAAAGAGAGGCTAAAACAATTTTTATTTTATGTTTGTAGTGTTTGTTTTTGAGAGAGGGAGAGAGAGCACATGAGCAGGGGAGAAGCAGAGATAGGGGGACAGAGGAAAGATCCTCTGTGCTGACAGCAGAGAGCCTGATGTGGGTGATGTGGCCTCGATCTCAGGAACCGTGAGAATGACCTGAGCTGAAGTCTGATGCTTAACCAACTGAGCCACCCAGGTGCCAGAGACTAAAACAATTTTAAGAGAAAAAGCTATTGAAGTGGAAAATTTTAGGGGGCTAACAATGTTATGCCCAGAATTCGTGATCCCCAAAGACCACCAGGGAGCCGAGTCCGATGCAAAAGCAAAAGAGCCTTTATTCGAGCTAGCTCGAGCTCAATCCCCTACCTGCACCGATGCAGCGGTGAGATACCGGGGAGAGAGAGTTTCAAAAGGACAAAGGTTTTATTGGGGCCTAGGGGCAGTTGGTGAGGTAATGGCTATGGCCTCAGCCGATTGGCTGGGGAAGGGTCCGAGTCCTCTAAGGCAGGTGGGGGGGGGGGGGGTTACTCAAGGGGAGGAGGCGCGGTCAAGGTGAAGGACACAGAACAAGATGGGAGTCGGCCGGCGTAGGCCCGCCCTTTCAACAACATCCATTTGTATTCATAATAGGTTCCCAATTTTCTTTGTGGAATTATCTTTCTTCTATTATGGGTTGTTTTGGTGGGAGAGTAATTCTAGTCACCTGCTTTCCAAAATGGAAGTAAAGAAATCCATTCCCTTTTACAGACCAGGTATTGATCAAAGAATCTTTCTCCCTGGTGTTTGGATCCTGAGTTAAATGACAGGAGAACAGAAGAACCAATTGGGAATTCTTTACTAAAGCAGCAACAACAGCAGCAGCCTTGTACCCGTCAGACGTTTCAGCTGTTACTTGTAAGACAAGTTTCCTGTGATTTCTTTTGGCCTTCCTGAGTATCCTTACTTGCTAAGCCTAGTTTCGTAGCCTCCTATCAATAGTGTGAATATCCTATTATCTTCCAAATGAATTTTCTTTTACTATAGTTAACCAGAGTTGGTCTGGAGGCTTGTCACTTAGAACCTTAAGTGATAAAGGCATGTGCAACTTATCAAATAATCTGAAGATTTGGATAAAACTTTCAAGGAAAGAAAATTCAAATAAATTAATAGCCAAGAAGAAATAGAAAAGTTAAAGATTTTAAGACACTAAGTGTCTTAAGACAAAGACACGAAGTTTTACTAACTTTCTTAGGAAAGATTATTCCTCTGTTATTTAAACTTTTCCACAACACAGAAAAAGATGGAAAGTTCTCCAAATTATTAGCAATGGTTTGCCCTCTGAGCCTTTGTCTGCCTTCAGGCCTCTCACACCTCACCTCTTCTTAGAGGTGAGGATGTACCAGCTGTCAAAAGGCAAAACAAAACAAAACAAAACCAACAACAACAAAAAAAACAAAACAAAAAACCTCCTTAAACTTTAAATTTCCTGGGGGCGCCTGGGTGGCTCAGTCGGTTAAGCGTCCGACTTCGGCTCAGGTCATGATCTCGTGGTATGTGAGTTCGAGCCCCGCATCGGGCTCTGTGCTGACTGCTCAGAGCCTGCAGCCTGTTTCAGATTCTGTGCCTCCCTCTCTCTCTGACCCTCCCCCGTTCATGCTCTATCTCTCTCTGTCTCAAAAATAAATAAATGTTAAAAAAAAAAAATAAAAAAAAAAACAACTTTAAATTTCCTCACTGGTTCCACAGGAAGAAATTAACAATGGTAAACTTTTAAGAAAACACAGATAAAATATTATTAAGATAGGCATGTCTTTTAAATTATAAAACTTTAGGGGCGCCTGGGTGGCGCAGTCGGTTAAGCGTCCGACTGTCAGCCAGGTCAGGATCTCGCGGTCCGTGAGTTCGAGCCCGCGTTGGGCTCTGGGCTGATGGCTCAGAGCCTGGAGCCTCTTTCCGATTCTGTGTCTCCCTCTCTCTCTGCCCCTCCCCCGTTCATGCCCTGTCTCTCTCTGTCCCCCCCAAAAAATAAATAAACGTTGAAAAAAATTTTTTTAATTATAAAACTTTATTCTACTAAGGTTGAGATGAATGGAATTTTAAAAGTATACTGGTATAAGGTTAAAATTCCGCTTTTCTCTCTGTTCAAAAAACAAAGTTTCTTGTACTGTTCTGCTCTTGATAAGACAATGTAAACAAAGGTTGTTTTTTGTTTTTTTTTTTCTCCTTGCCAAAAAACCAAGGCTTTAGGTTTCATCTTTATCAGGTCTTTGATTGCTTAGGTAAAACTTCTCAATGTTAAAGGAACTAGGTTTTGCTAACAACTATATAATGCTATACATTTGCCTTTAGGATCTTTTATTGCCACGTTGGTTAAATAAATAAAATGTTAAGATTTATAATGATTTGTAATCGTATTTAGGATATGCTTTATAATAACTTCCTAAGGTTATCACAAACTTCCCAGGATTTAAATGGTAAGTAAAACATTTAATATTTAAACTAATTTAAATTTGTTAGCTCTGTCTTTAAAGTTATCAACATTAAATATAAAACTTTATTCTACGAAGATGTACTAGGTCGAATAAATCACTGGGTTGAATAAACTCACATTATCTCTGTTCCAATCTGTTAACAAAAGGATGACTTAAAGTAATGGTTAACTTTGTTTGCCTCATAGTTTTTCATGGGTAATTGTTAAGATAGCTTTCAATGTCTTTGGTAACCTAAAACGTTAAAGTTTTGCTTGCATGATAAATTAATATTAAATTCATTGGACAGCTAATGAGATAAAAAGCTAAAGCACTAATTACTAGATGTAGGTCTGTGCTTTTGACTTGTTGCAAAAAACTAAGGATATTTGAACTGTTATAAAACATGCCTTGTGCTTAATGGATTCATAAGTTTGCCCTTCAAGAAAATTCTGATAAAACATAGAGTTCACAATTGGTAACTACTTAGTTTTCACTGGAGACTAAGGTTTCTAAGAGTTAAAATTTTGCTACATGCAGTTAAAACTGCTAAAAATAAGAAAAGCAACTCTATATGTAGAAAAGTAGGAGATATAAAAGAAAGATATAAGAAATGGAAATATATTTTTATTAAAAGTTAAAAAAAAAAAAAGAAAGAAAGTAATTTTGTCCTAAATGAGAGCTGGTTTTTTGGAGAGAAATGGCTTGGGACAAAATCTAAATGCAAAAAAAAGTGACAGAAAGTTCATGAAGAAAAACCTTTAAAAAGAAATTTTATGTGTAGTCAACCCAAACTAAAGTTAAAATAAACGGATTTTAAAAGTATACAAGGTTAAGATTAAAATTCCTCCTCCTTTAATCCAAAGTCTGGGGAAATGATGGCAAAACCCTTGGTGCCAGCCTCCAAATCCTCCACATTTGTGTTGTTCCTGTTTGGCAGAGGAATGGATGCCTATGCCATATGAAAGATGGAGAATATGTAAAGGGCTTTTACTAAGATACATGGGAGCCATTTTACTAAACTTAGCCCTTTGCATGTCTCAAATGGATATCCACATGGCTAAAACATTATTTATATAAACATTACTGAAAAAGACAGGGGAACAGACCTTAACTTGAGCCCTTTAGCCCCCTTCCTCAAATGCCAATGATCAATATGTAAATTACCACTGAACAAAAATAAAATTAATGCATCCTATGATAACCACAGAAAAAATACATTTTTATTAATGATAATAAATAAACAAATAAATATAATTTTAACATAAAGGGTAAAACAACAAAACAACACACCGTTTTAAGTTGTCTTACTTAAGCCTTGGTTGGAATTATCCATTCCTTATAATCCACAAGGCCAAACAATTATAAAATGAGCATATATTACGCTCAAAAACCTATTAAAAAACAAAAAGGGGGAGATACCCCTGGCTGTCTGCATTACAACCTCAGCTCCTTCTTGATCATGCTATGATTACTCTTAACTTTTTAAATCTTAATCCTCAAGGACTCACTGCAGTTGAGTGACATTCTTCAAAATAAGATAAACCCTCTCACCCTATGGTGCTATGCAAAACACCTGAAGGGGGGCCCACACGGACTGGGCCCATGAAACTTCTCACCTGGGGTCGAGGACATGCTTGTGTTCTTTCAGATTCCAGACTTCTGTGGGTTCCCTCACTTTTGGTAAAGCCTTACCATGGCATCATGGAGACCCCCAGAATATCTTCCAGTAAACCAGAACATCCAGAAAATGACTCTGAGTAAACGGCCACTGGCCCTCTTCTTCAAGATGGAACAAGCCTCTTGATGGACTCATCCTGAAGCCACTCTACAAACGCCAAGTCCTTGCCCCTAACATAACATGGGGAAGCCTTGAATGCCTGTCTAACCAGGCCAGCATTCTCTTATAACAGAATGATATTGCATATACCCTTAATTTGCATCTGATGGCCATGATTTCTGCCATTAACAAAAATTCAATATGTGTAAGCCTGATTATACTCCTTGCCCTCATTTGTCCAGGCCAAGCTCAATGTCCATATTGGGCTCATCTCCTTAAAACACCT